GCTGAACCATGAGACACTGGGGAATTCTGCTTTGATTCCTTCTCTCAAGTGCTTGTGAATCATAAATAAGTTCCTGGGTCATATGTACCCACTGGGACAACTTGTTCCTTAAAAATTAAGTGGAGGAGAATTTGTTCAGACATTAAAAAAAAAAAAAAAAGTTAAGTATAATAAACAATGCTCTATCTAAGATTCTGATTTTAAAGTGTAATGAAGTGACGTTCTCCAGTCTACAGTCACTCATTTCCCTTGGAAATTCGGTCAAGAGGATTATAATTTCAGTTTCTTGATTTAAGGCAGTTTGTGTGTCTGAACTATTTGCGAAGAAAAAAATTCAGATATATTCAAAGTTAAAATTTTCACCCTGTTTACTTTTAGATGTGTTAATGTGAATCATATTTCTTGCCTCTGCTATTATTGCACATCTGTGGCTTATTCTTTGTTTCTGGAAAAATCTTACCTTGAGGGACTAAATTTAGTAGGAAGGGAGGATAATTCACTTGAAACTGATACCTTTTTTTTCTAGATTGGGCTACATTGCATCTGTAAACAAAACTGTTTGCTTGTCTAGGATGGTGAACCATTGAATCATAATTTCATTCCATTGGACATACAGCTGGATAACTGGGAGGATTTGCCAGAGAGTTTCCAGCATAAACAAAATCGTTCATTGGTAAGAACAAATTCTACTGGCGCAGTAATCTAATATTTAAAAGGAAGGGCTTTGACTTATTTTTTTTAAATCAATGCGGAACACTTCCAGGCCTTGGGATCTAGGCACAGTTTCATCAGTGCGAGCAGATCTTATAAATGTTGATGTGAATATTAATTATGCAGTCTGTTACTTTGGCAAATTATCATGCCTCCTGTTAGCATTTCGGTAGATGGAATCAACCAGGCATCATTTACTTTCTCATTTACAGGATTAGTAACTAACGTTCATAAGTCAACAAAATCGCATTTTAAAGGTTATGAATTAAACGGGGCACATTATGAATACGAATGTGCTAGATTGTGTCAGAGCTGCCGTTCTGAGCAGGCCTCCACTCTCACTTCTTCCTTCGGCCCTCTAACAATGTTCAAAGCAGCGCAGGGCGCAGCTCCACTGAGACATGTCCCTGTGGTTACGTCAGTAACAAAGATCACGTCCATGGTAGGGTTTGAGGAGAACATTAACACTGTAAAACCAAGTACTCAAGTAAGGAAATCCATAATTTAAATTGGATGTGCAATATTACCTGCTTAACATAGTTTTCTTAACTGTGTTTTCTCCATTTGAAGAGAACCATAATTTAGAAAATCAGATTCTGTTGTGTGAGAGCAAAGCTGATTCTTTTTGGTAGGTTCTCCAGCAAGGCTGGAACTCGGATTCATAAGACAGATACCTGACTGACTGAGCCAACAGTTTTGTGAAGCTGCTAATGAGTGGGTAACACAGATGTTGCCAAAGGATTTCAAAGCTGTTTGCTAGACTGAAGCGACGAGTTAAGAATCCCATGTTTGTGGGCAGCGAGTGGCACTGCCTTGTGGAACATCCTGTCCCTGTACAGGATGTCCCCTGTCCCTGGAACATCAGCCTTATCCTCTAGATTAGAAAATCTGTATTAGTAAATTCTCCCTGAAAGAATCAGGGAAATACCTTCTCGTTTCTGTTTCCACCCTGCCATTTCATTCACTTCTCTCTTGCTGCTCTGACTCTGAGGAGGTGGGACTCATCTGTACACTTCTACATTTGCCATGTCAAAATACTCCAAGGAGAAAATCATTGCCGCGTCGTAATCTTGAAGTATGGCAGTTTGTTCTTGGATAAAGCTGAAGTCACAATTAAGTTCATACTGCACAGTGTGTTTATTCTTCCCATAGTCCGTGTCCAGAAACAGCGTGATACTGACTGCTATAGGGAGTGGCAAGTCAGCGAGGAAAAAGGGGAATGGAAAAAACCCAAGCCCCTTGTTCAGTTGTCATATTATTACTCCCATTTATTTTCTGTTGTAGGGATGAGGATGGGATGAAATAATTTTTCTCCTACACGTATCCTAAAGCAAGCCACATTATAAATTCTAAATTCCTATGTAGGAACGGGGTTTTTTTACCTCACTTCCTCACTCTTCTGAGGGCACATTGGAGTTATTGAGAAAGTCCGTTAGTCTTACCAGTCCTGTCAGTTTACAGCTTCAAAGTTGGGGTTTCTTTTGTGGCTTCCCAGCACGTAAACAATATTAGATTCAGTACCAGAAATTAAATTCCTCCTGAACCTCTTTATCTTATTATACTTTCCAATTCTAAATGCAAAATAAAAGGTGATCAATATTATGCCATATTCTCCATTTCCACTATGAAATACTTCGTTAAACAGTTCATAAGTTCTTCCTCGGGATCCTGTGGTGGTGTCAATTTGAGAGTGCTCTAAAAGAAGATGAATTGCAGGTTAAACTGCTCAATACTATTGTTCTTTGAATATTTTGGTGGTAAAGCATGTCTCTACTTGCCTGGTCACGGATCTTAGCGTGCTGCGCTGAGATGCCACAGCGAAGAGGATGACAGTATTGCCATAAAACAGATTTGTGATTAAGATAATTTAGTGACCTGATTTCTCATGTCATTAATCGCTAATTTACTATAATATTTTTTATTACATATGTTTTTCTCATGCTGTACTATTGTAAAGGAATATTATAACCTCAAAACAAGTACGTTGGTGATTCTGTTAAAATTTTAAAATTGGAAAACTTTTGTGAGAAATAGTTGAATTGAACAGCTCTTCCACTTTACCCGTGGCTACGTCTTTCACACTGACATTTGAGGCTATAACACTTAATCCAGTGTTAAGCATGTATCTGTTAGAAGGTTAGAGGAAAGAAGAAAGGTGGCCCATTAAACCCAGTTATAAATGCTGCTCAAGTAACGGGAGCAAACTTGCCTTTTCTGGGAGGCCTGGTGCAAGAAGAGAATTGCCGCTGCACGAAGAAAACTTTTGCATGCCTGTTTCTCCCATCAGCAAAGTCTTGCTTACACAAGAAAGGTTTACCTGGGGCTTTATCATAGAATCATAGAATGGTTTGGGTTGGAAGGGACCTTGAAGATCATCCAGTTCCAACCCCCCTGCCCTGGGCAGGGACACTTCCCACCAGCCCAGGTTGCTCAAAGCCCCATCCAGCCTGGCCTTGAACACCTCCAGGGATGGGGCAGCCACAGCTTCTCTGGGCAACCTGTGCCAGCGTCTCACCACCCTCACAGTGAAAAATTTCTTCCTAATATCAAACCTAAATCTCCCCTCTTCCAGTTTGAAGCCGTTCCCCCTCATCCTGTCACTACATGCCCTTCTTTGTCAAGAAACCCTTCTTCTGTTGCTATACCTTAGATTAGTAAAGGTCATTTCTGGCCTTATTTTCTACCTTCTGTATTGACAAGCCTATTGTAGCAAAACTGTTATTTTAGACAGTGCCAAAGCTGTTGGACTTCTTCAGCAGGTGGTGGTGGGGGGTGCAGCTTGTATGAAAAATGACTTGAAGAGACTATCTCTGATAATACCAGCTGTTTTCATCCAGTTTTGAATGTATTAATTCATAGCACTCTCTCACTGTAATTAAGTAGTTCTGTGTAATGCCTGTCTTGCTGCTGACAATAGCATTCTCTACCAGATACTGAGGTTTGTGAAAGAATGGAGTCATCTAACAGCAATGAAACAGAAGATTGTCAGAAAAAGTGGTCAGATATTTTGTAGTCCTATTCACGCTGCGGAGGAGTTGTGTAAAAAGCAGTCAGCGGTCAGCAGCACAAAAAGGTAGGTGGTTTTTCATTTTTTTTCCCCTCTTACTAATTGCTGCAGGAGGTTCGATATGTTTAATGTAGTTTTCAGTGGAATGATGCTGAGACTGTAAAGTGGTTGTTGGATGATTGCTTGTCACATAGTGACAAACGTAGGCAACCAAGCACGGCAGTAAATCTGTTGCAATGGAAGTGTTTGCGTCCCTCTCCACCCCGTGCCGCACTCAGCAGCTCTTCCGGCTTCGCTCCGCTGCATGTTTAAACACCTGGAACCTGCCAGAGATTTTTTGAGAAAAAATCATGATCTCAGGGATTCGAAAGAAAAGTAAGGTCAAAGAATCTTGTTGTTTTCCCTGCCTGGAAGCAGGAATACATCATTAGTTGCCATCAGTGATGCTGACGCTTCATTCATAATTCACAGCCTACTCCAACCCTTCCTGATACTCATTTTTATTTAAGCAATTCTGTTCTCTGTGGATGACATTTCTCAAAACTATTGTTTTCCTTGCTGGGTGTCACTGAAAAGGGCTAGTGTTTAATCCTGGTTAAAATCTAAATTTACTTTTTTTCCGCTTTTTTTTTTTTTTTCCTTTTTCTGATACACTGTCTTCCCTCATAGACATTTGCAGCTTCAGTGTAGTCATTGCCCTCCACAGAACTACTCATGCGTACAGGTTACCTCAGCAAGGTGCCTCTGCAAACTCGCTGAAACAGTTTCATTCCTCTCAGTCCCTACTGTTACATTCTCCAGGGTGACTCTATTTTGGCTGTAGGTAAGAATTCAAGTAAATAAATAAAGTTTGTAATTCCAGTTATATAAAGAGACCCAGCAGGCAGTAAGTGTTTCTTAACCTGTTGCCAGAGCGTTTCATTCCATAAAGAGTAGGAAAGATCTAACTGTGAACTGGGTTAAAAAAATCTATTGTAACCTACAGCGGTCTTCTAAGGTAATATATAGGGTTTGGCATATGTATAGTACAGAGAGGTGTACTTACAAGAAACAGTCTGATTAGTGGTTTTTGGAAGAATGATCAGACTGAAGCAATTTTAAGTGTTTTAGTTAAGAGCCGTCATGTTTGGTAGGTTTTTACATTAAAATAAAGTAGTGAGTTCAAACACAACTGAGGGAGCAAAGAGTCCTTCAGAGGTTGTAAAGCTCCCTGTATTGGCTAGAGTAGCAGTGAGACGTCACCCAGCCAGAACAAAACGGCTTTCAGGTTTCACTGTCAGGCAATATCAAATTGCTTTCATTTTCCTGTTTTTTATATATATATACAAACAACTTACCTGTTTGCTGGTTGGAGCTGAGTCTGGTTTTAGAAAAAGGTATGTAATATGGAAGTATTATGGTGAAGTATGTTTTCCTAACCTTTATTCATTTCTCATCCAGGAAATGAGGGATGTGTTAAGAGAATATACTGTACCAATCTTGCTGCAGCCAATAGTGAATATACTTTGAGGGAGATTGTTCCCTTTGTGGTATATTGACAAGATTTTGAATTATTTTAGGTACATGACCAAAGAGGATGTAGCAGCAGCATCGCTTAGCAAAGCTAGCAGCAGCGGGGGCAGCGTGCGCCTCATCTCAAAAGAAAGCGGAGTTTGTCTGAAGAATGAAAACGCCTCTATTGAGCAATCAGGTCGTTCCACAAAGTAAGTTTATTAATGCAATAAGATGATTAAGCTGTTTCTCCACAGATTACTTTTTTTTTTTTAAGTAGCAAACTTATTTGCCATGACTATTTACCTTGCTAAGTACAGTGTTTAGATAAGAAACTTCCTATAGTGCTAATGAGCTATGTTTTATTCTTCTAACAATTTAGATTACATCTGTCGGCTGCTGGTATAACTACTAATTAACTGAATTGATTAAAATGAAACAAGAAAATAGTTATGTGATTTGGTTAAAGAAAAAAAAAACGCTAGCTCAGGCCTGCTTGTGAGGTCAACAGCAAATTGGGGACACCAAATTTGCTTCTATTCTGCCTTAAAATTTAGAAAAAGGGAGAAAAGAACGTGAAAATTCTAGACAGAAAATGCCCTTTTAAGAAATTTTCTTAAACAAGCAGTGTGTATCCTGCCTGGAGGTAAGCCTCGTTTAGAGTGGGAAATCGATAGATAGCTTTGAAAGTCACATAGAGAAACCAGGATGTTTTCTTTGACTTTTTCCTTCTGCTAAAGAGGGGCTGAAACATTTTACATTTGTATGTGTGCTTGCCTGATAGAAGCCACCCTTTCTTTATAAATACAGCATTATTTCAGCTAATAATTCAGCATACATGTGTAAATGTAGTGAGATGTGCAAAAGAAAAATCTGTCTTATATTATTAAATTAGGTTTAAATGGAAATTAAACCAAGTGGATGATTTGCACTGTGCAGGTATCAACCTGAGCAAGGTATTTCAACTGAAGTTGGTATTTCAGAGCATAGAAGATACCTAATGGAAATATACAGTGTGTAAAAACAAACAAAAAAACCCCAAACACCAAGCCACCAAAACAGACTCTGGAATTGTTTGCTGAATACCTCCTTTATTTACAGCTGTACTTTGTTCTCTGCAAACAGGTTGCTTTCAGAAGATAGAAAAGGCGCGTCAGCTCTTTGTTCGGAGCAGAGCGACGCTGAGGGCTCCTCCCTGTCCAAAGGTTATTTGCAAGCCCTGGACAGCCAAGGGAACCCGCTCTGTCTCAGCTGTCAACAGCCAACAGCTCAGCTTGAGCCAGGCTGCCAGGCACGCGCCTGGGACACGCGATTCTGCTCTCACGCCTGCCAGGAGGACTTCTCGATTCGCTCTAGTCAGAGCTACCTCAGGACGAAAGTGTTTGAAATCGAACACGGTGTCTGCCAGTTTTGTAATCAAAACGCCCAGGAGCTTTATCTCAGCATCAGAGATGCGCCCAAGAGTCAGCGTAAGAAACTTCTGGAGAGTTCTTGGATGTCTCGCCTCCCGCTCGGGCAGGTAATAGTACTGGGTTTGAAGCAGTAACAGCTGATCTGTATATTCCTGTCGCATAGTTCAGAGAAATCCAAAATGTTCTTACAGGTTTAAGAGAGAAGGTTCACCTAGCACCAACAGAATAAGAAAAAACAGATAAACAAAACAAAATCCCAACAGTTTCTAACACATTTTTCGTCTCTGAAAGGCACAGGCATCAGAATTTGATTCCTTAGGGATGTAAATATTGCAGCTGGTTGTACTCGAAATGCACTTCATTAATGAACTATGGCTATGAAACAATTTAAGAATGAATGTAGTCCAGCACTACTGGGTTTTTCTGACTTTGCAGAAAGTTTGATAGGAGCTTAACAAAAGCCAGTTAAGGCAGTATCGACTCAAAATGCATTACAAACTACCACCATTCTTCCACAGTTGTCATTGCTTCTTCGCTGACTTGAAGGCAGTGGAGCAGCGAGGGAGAACATTCCTACATGAAGTGATATTTTTATTCAGAAGCTAAAACGCTGTTCTATTTTCTGCTGCAAAGTTGAAATTCTGCTTCTGAAGTTACTGTTTCTAAATTGTTTAAAGAAATTCTGCAGACACCCACTGAGACTTGCAGAAGAAAACATCATTTGCCGTCACTTGTCGTATGCATGAGATCAGCTTTGTTGCTTGCAGGTTTTTTAAAATAAGGTGGCGCACATCCAAAAGACGGCAATGAGAAGCCCTGCGGAGCGGGGTCACTTACACCCTGCGAAGTGAGCACAACTCTGTGTTGTGTCTAAGTTACCTTTTGAAAGCTGACATGGGGCTTTATCACCTCAGGTTTCTCAATGCACATTATTACACTTCCCACTGTCTTGATCAAAAACGTAAATGACAGATGCCTAGTTAGGGTCCACTTCTTCAAGCTCTTTCTTGCATATTTTTTTTTACTTGCATATGTTTTTTTTTTAATATCAGCACTTGATGTTGATTGATAAAGTGATATTGAAGATAACTTACGTACCAGTCAAGAAAACAGAACCTTTCATTCTGTCTTTCCTCCATCCACTGCCGTGTGGTTCAGCATGCTGCAGGCTCGGTGAAAAGATGCCAACTACAGTTACAGTGTTTGCTTGTCCAGTGGGAGTAACAAAAAAATGCTAATGATTACTTTCTTTCTCTTGATGAAAACCATGAACACCTACTTCCCTAAATTATTTCCTTCTTCTTACGGTAGAACACACACGTAGTTGAGAAGAAGTATCTAATGCTTCCAATGTCATGTCCTTTGTTACTGCAGTTGAATGAAATTCTGACGAACCCGGCGGAAGGGCAGTTCTGGCAGGTAGACCACATCAAGCCCGTTTACAGTGGAGGAGGACAGTGCTCCCTGGAAAACCTTCAAACGCTGTGTACAGTCTGCCACAGAGAGGTCAGTATGGTACAGCCACAAACCCCCACCCTCTCCCACGGCCATCTTGTGGAACGCGCACCGGGACAGTATTTATTATCACAGAAGGATTTTGGGCGCAGGGACCCCGAGAGGTATCACAGCCTGACCCAGGGCTCAGAGCAGGTTGCTCAGCACCACCCAGTGCAGTCCTGCACCATCTCGCCCCGGTTAGCAGCGCCTGCCCACCCTCAGGGGAAACCTCCTCCCATGTCCCGTGGTGATGCCCCGGGCAGGGTGCTGTGGCTGCTGCCATGTGCCCCTGGGGAGGGCCTGGCTCTGACACCTCCTGCCCCTCCTTTTGGCTGCAGGAGACTGTATTTGGGTTCCTCCTCAGCCCTGTGGTCTCCAGCTGAACAATCCCTGTGCTCCCAGCCTCTCCATCCCACCCAGTGAGGATGAAACTCAACGGTTACGATGCAAGTTTCCTCAGGATTTAGGAAAAATGTCCCCTTAATAAACATTTGTATTTTATTATGTTGTCTACCGCAAAATTAGACGGAAGTTTAACTGTGGGCTAATGCTTTCCATCGAGCGCACTGTTACCAAGTAACCATACTTACTGAACAGACCTGTCTTTCCCTTTTGCAGAGAACTGCAAAACAGGCCAAGGAGAGAAGTCAGATGAAGAAACGTTCTTTAGGTACAAAGTATGGCTGTGACATCACAAAATTTTTTGTGAAGATGTAAAATGCAAAATGTATTCAGTTACATTAGAACTCAGAAACCACTACAGTTATACAGACTTCCTCGTGGCATATAAACCTTTCTATCATGCTGTTGGCAGAGGGAAGAAAATACAGAATTAGAACCAAGAAATCATTTATAACACTGATTGTCAGAGGGCCTTGGGGAGTGCATCCAAGGTATTGATCGTGGTTATGTTTTTATGACCCTGTAGTTTAAAGCTAAAGTTCTGTGTGTAGCCTTAATGCAATTCTGAAGCATTACTGTTTTCCTATTATATGGTGTAATACCTGCAAGAATTTGAGGAATTTCTGTTGAAACTTCCATTGGTCTTACAGGGTTCAGTTGTACTGGGGACATTATGGACCAAGAAGGTATCTTAATTTAAATTCTTTTCTTTGTTCATGTATCAAAATTACTGGAGAAAACACAGGCTCAGACATCTATTATCACAAAAACAGCATAAGTGATTAATTTGGATCTTCTGAAACCATTAATAGCAGCCTTGGGAGTGCTCTGATCGGCCATGAAGGGCCGACTGGTGGGACTGGGACTGGGCCTGGCTTACAGGACTGTGGCATTTAGAATTAATGTCTATTGAAATCTGTTTTTACTTAAGCCAACTGGTATTAAGAACTTATTCATGATAAGGAACAATAAATATTACCAATTATCTCATCAAAGGTAATTTCTGGGAAATGCTAGAGTTGCTTTCTCCTTAACAAGACCGCAGTGATGCTGGTTATTTTGGACTGGTTATGTGGCTTTCTTTACGGTTACTTCAAATAAACACATTTCTCTTTCCTGGTGATTTTTTTAATGCTTTTTCTGTCTGTTCTCCCACCCCTTGAATGCCATAAGTCAGTAGTAACTGCCGCTACGCTCCAGCCCTTTTTCTGGAAGTACATGACTGCAAAAGTGCAACTAAGACCAGCTTGATAACTGAGGGATTTTCAAATTTATACAGCCTTTACAAGAGGACACGCTTTAATGTGTGTCCATTTCATGGACAGCACCATTTCATGAAGACAGCACATCAGGAGAGGAGGAAACCAAGACTATCAGGGAAGAAGCTCAAGTTAAGATTGCTTACTCAGTAATTAGTCTAATGCAATTTCTTTTAAAGCAGCTAGACAGTTAAACAGCAGCTAATTTAGTCTCTTTCTCACCCCCTCTTACTGGGGGAATTTTCCTCAGGTAAATACAACAGCCTGGAGAAAAAATTCTGTGACAATTCTTTTTCTGAAGAAAATTAACTCTTCTTTATCCTGAAAAACATATTTCTCCTTGATACAGGTTTATCCGAGGGAAACACTCTAAGCCCTGGCCCCTACCCCATCAAAGGAGATTTAGGGTAACACCGTTACCCTACTACCTGAGACAGAACTTTCTATACTGAATGTAGTCAGTCATAAACAATGGTGTTCCTAGGCGAAATCATGCCAGGATGACATTTAAAAAGTATTTTGACAAAAACCATTGCTAGTACCCAAAGAAGTCTGCGAGCCAATAATAAATTCAGGTTTATTGAATAATGTCAGCAATACTGTAGCTGTTTTTACATTTCATTTTGTAAAGTAACGTAACACTCTTTTGCTGATTCTCACTAAAACACACAAAGATCACTGTAAAGCAACATTGGCACATACAGGTCGTAGTGTTCGCATGATATCCAGTGGGGTTAGTTCACAGCAGGCGATAGAATTGTTTCACTGTCTCAGATCAAAGATGCAGTATGCGTTCAAACAGGCTCTGTAAATACCAGCAAGTTGCTTACAGTGAAACACCTCTGTACACATCATTTACATACAGCTTTGGCCCTTGCACGCAGGGAAGGATATAAAGTCTCCAAAACCATCAGCGATCCACTTAAGGCTAGCAGACTTACCATCCAGTTACAGCCCCAAATATATTCATTTCTGTCTGGGAGAAGTGTCCAAGACAAGATCTTTTTGGACAACTGCTGCAATGCTGGGGGAGTTTAGCGTGAACTAGAATGTACTGTATACTTTAAATAAAATTAAGGATATTTTAGAAGTATTTGCAACTTAGCGATTAACCAAGAAGTAGCAATAAATACAAATTACTTAATGTTTGCACATCAATTTAAGTAGACTAATATCACTTGATAAAATCTGATTAAGAACTGTAAAGCAGCATATTCTGCATGAATTTCAACATGAATTATTTGCATACAGCCCATTCATGTCCGTTATTAAACAAGCTAATGCAAAAAAAAAAAAAAAAAGCTCCTTTTGGACAGACAGGAGATTGCTAAACTTTCTTCCCCAAAGATCGGATTAAAACTAGTCACAAAGCCATTCCAGACCTCCAAGTCAGAGTTGCTACAGGCATCCTTCTCAGCTGCCAGTTCCGCTCTGCCCTTGGGAATATGACGTTCCGTCACTAACGATGACCGTATTGTCTCCTCGCCACAATCCAGTCAATCTGTGTTAACTTCCCCAAAGGAAAATGAATAGCATGCTACTTGTGAAGATGCACAAGATAACGCAGCTGGTTACATCAGAAGAACGTTGTATCTGCTGAAAAGGCACCTGCAAGTCGAAAATCTTCCTTTGTCAGCACGCTGTACATGCGCTGGGGCAATGGCTTGGAGTAAGGAGCGGGGCGGGGGACAGTCGTGCGCAGAATCACCTCCCGACCCGTGGGTGGTGGGAAATCTGAAACGGCTCCCGTGTTGAGTCTTCGCTCCTCTGATGAAGCCGATCTCCTCAATTCTTCATCAAGTGGAGGCACTGCGGAAACCTTAAATAAGAGCAGAGGTATGATTACAGGCTGCTTCTTAACATTAGGATTCAGAAAATACTTCTTAAGAGGAATAGAGGAAGGTCAGAAATGGTAAACACATCAAAAGGCTTCATGTGTACACAGAGCAAGACACTAATGGGATGTCAAGAAATAAACTGTGCACAATCAAATGGAAGAACCTTCATGTGTGGATGATGAAGCTCAGCCTAGATTAAGCTCCTGATTTTTCGGCAGTGTGAAGCGAGGGTTCTGACCAGACGAAATGCCCTTCTCAAGCAGGGCTCTCCCCTCAGCTCGCTGTGGCTGCACAAGGCCAAGCCAGCCTCCTTTTAAAAATAACCAGCGCCACTACTGGAGTCTTGGCAAAAGGTCACCTGCCTTTTCAAACTCAAAAATACTACCTCGATACGTCCTTCTCATGGCCAGAGAGAAGCTTGCTGGAAAGACGCTGCAGAGCAAGTGAGACGCTGTGCAATCTCCAACGACGCTCATCGCCTCAGAGCCAGTAAGCAGCAACACTGAAGTCTGAATACTGGAAGAAGGGCTGGCATGCTCCAGTCAGCCCAATAAGCATTCCCTAATTACATATATATATACACCCCAATACCCTAATAGGGTCCTAATTTTAATGTACACAACTCAAGCTTATCAGTGTCACTCAGGCATGGCAGAAGCCACCGGACAGCCCTCGTGGCCCCTCTGCTCCCACCCCCCTCCCCCGGCCAGTCCCCAGGAGCGGGGACCCGGCACCACTCGGCTCTGCAGCCTGCGCCACAGAAGTCACCAGGGACAAGTGCCACTTGTTCCCACAAAAGCAGTTCTAGGAAACCAAGAGAGGATGGTCCCTGTGCTACACTTCACAGTTACCCCAGTTCTTCCCCAAACCCCTCTGTATCTGCCCAAAAAGTTCAGCAGTGTCCATAAGCAGTGGTATCTAGGATGGAGGTAGTCAGGTACTGTCCATCTCTACCTAACCCCCCAAACATCTGGCTGTTCAATAAACAAAACACAGTGACAGCAACAGAGAAGAATATAAAGGCAAGGCCACATATTTCAGCATCAGAAAACGTTAATGTTCACTTGAAGAAATGTTTGTTGTTTGGTTTGGTTTGGTTTTTGTTTTTTAAAGATTTCTCTTTTTCATGACCCGTTAGGCTCTAAAAATGGAGTCTGTGAATGAGGAAAAACCATTCTGGAAACACAAAATTATTTTTATGCTTAATATATGAACAACAGTACAAACTAAATCAGGCTGCTGTCTATATCTACTAAAAGGTTCAACTCTATGCAGCTAGGGAAAATGAGTGGGAAACGAGGGACAAAGTTGGTTACCTCATCAGAAGATTCAGTCAGCTTGGAAAGGGATGAGAAAAGAACCAGTGATGAAAGATAGAAACAAAGGCAAGTCAGAGGTGACTTACAAGAGGTTAGAAGGAGATTGTAGGTTTAAGAGACATCATGCACTCTACTTCCAAGAACATGCATTTGCTATCATAATCTTCCTGAGAAAACTTGAGAATATACCAACACATTTTACACAACTGGGAGAGGAGTCCAGGTTCAAAAGATAATGAACAAGGAAATCATTCAACTTCTATTTACTGAACAGCTCTCTACTGAAATAATTCTTGACAGATTAAACACGAGGGGTTCTTGATAGCAAGTTAGCTCCTGTCCCACTAAGAAGTCTTAATTAACAGTGACCAGCTCCTAGTGGCACGTATGTGTAACCTAGCTTTAGTTACTGATGTTTCAAAAGAAACAAAACCCTAGACGTTTACATACACCTTTATCGAACATTAACGCTAGAAACACTTACTCAGCTTTAAAAACATAATTACTCGATATCAAAAAAGGAAGTGCACGCGCTTGCATACACTTACAGGGCACAATCTTAGCCTTTGCAGGGAAGTCTGTAAGTAAGGCTGGTTGACACGTTGAGATTTGCAACCAGATTTTCCCTAGAGACTAGAAGGACAAAATGAATGTTCTGACTTTCATTTCTCAGAATAACCATGGTCTGTTTTCAGAATGGTCTTTTTTATGCTGAGTTGCAAAAGACAGATTATTATAAAAGCGTCTATACCTTAGAAGTGTTTAATATCCAATCACAACATTTTTACAGCAATGATTTCCAAATGGGATTTCAGGCTCTAAGATGTCTGCAATACTATGCTGCCTTGTTATTACTACTGTAGTTAAATTTTAGTTAGATAATTTGATGCTATGAACAG